TCTATGCTGTAATGAGTTTTATTTTCTTCTTTCACAATCTATCGATAAGCTGTGCAACTATTCTCCACTCCATGTCATATTTGAAAATAGGCACACAGCTTATCGATAGATTGTGAAAGAAGAAAATAAAACTCATTACTGCAAAGAGTAAACCTACTTAGGTACAGAAAGGCTTGGATAAGAGTGTAAATTTTATTACCTGCATTCCACTGGAAAATACAAAAGCACACGGTCCTTATGACACCGAGACCCCAGCAATATCTTTTCAAGGCCTTCACTTTCCTGAATTTTCATCCCTTTAGACACTGCTCAAGTGTACATGAAAAATTCAAGGGTTAAAAAACAACTGCACAAATAAGAAGAACATTGTTATATAGCTAAAGAAACACATGGAAATTTATTATAAAACAGAGGACCCAAAAGCTAAAGGGGAAGAGTAATGCATTGTTTGTTCAACATTCACTGATGGGCCATATATGCATGATGCTTTAGGCCTAAGCAACCAAGTACAACCTTCTTGTGGCTCTGGTTAGACCAACTCCATTCCAAGCCCACAACTTTAGTTGCTAAGATCCCGTACCACCCAACTAAGATTCAGCAGATTAAGACAGACTCCCACAGCTAGCAAGATTGCAAGCACAATTTATTTTGTAATTCCTTCATAAAATCTCCAAAAGGAAAGAAAGGAAGCTAAAAGCATTAGAGGCTTATTGCTAGACTTTAATATCTTTGGTTGTAGACCCTATGTTTTTTGTTCAAGGATCACAGTTCTGTATATGGAGGATATAGAGAACATTATTTGCTACTATGCTTAGCTTGTAAAGATTCATACTCTTTTGTATGTGAGTGGCATCCCTTTGGTGGTTATAAAATAGCACAGTTTTTTCCTTTTAATTTCAAAGAGAAAGGAAGCAAATGGTTCAGGAAAACAAATTGTGCAGATTCAAATACACAACACTATTTTTTTGCAATAAAAATTGCATAAGAAACAAATATTCATTCTTCAAGATATTATGCAATAGCCACAACCTCATAGTACCAACCATATTGGTCTCGGTGATATGCCTCCTGTTAAATTAAGGGTATGATTAAAGCGGTCAAGGTTCGAATCCCATTTTTAACATCTAATTTTTTCTAACTAAAAGACAAAATAGATGACACCCTCACCATATGAGAGAGAATAAGAAAAAAATAATACCAAAATTGAGGGGGTCTT